AGGCACAGGGGGGGTACCTTGCACCTGCTGCCAACGACCGAGGTGTCATGGAAGTCTGGACCGGATGTGAAGGGTTGTCATCCAGATTGGCTGGTCAAGCTGTTCGCAGATGTGAAAAGCGACTTGTCGGATGGTGTCCGCAAGATTGTTGAATCTTATGTGAGCCAGAACTTGCAGTCAGAACTGGCTGTCCCACAAACCATGTCTCTTCATCCGCCGGATCTCAACTTGACGTACGAGCTGCAAACCCTGCAGTTTGTTCACTCTACCACGCCAGCGAATGAAAGCTATGTCATTGCGCATGCCAATTGCGTGATCCATGCTAGGGCAAGAAACGGCAGCATTCAAGCCTTTCCAGATGCAAGCGCTCCGTGGACAGGGAAACACAATGCCCTCCCGTTGGATGATCAGTGGAGACGTGTAGTGGGAAGCGGTCCAGATCAATTGGTTCTTCTTGGTGGGGCGCGCTTTAGTCAGGAACTGCTGACAATGCTGGCTCGCAGCATGCACTACGTAGGCATGCTCTACTCGCAGAATTCGACTCATGTCAAGGATGCAGAACTATACTCGACCATCGACATGTCCTGCCCAGAGGTAGATATTTCCAAAGCCCGAGTTGGAGTTATCATGAAGCAAGACCACCTTCACTTTCAAATTGACTGCCTGGACAAGATGGCAGTCAATGCTTCAAACTTCAGCTTGGTGAACTTTACATTCAGCCAAGTCATGGAGGAACTCTTCGTGTCGGCCTACGTGCCGAACGACCACACAGCCGGAATCATCCTTCAAGTGTTGAACGTGAGCATGGGAAGCTTGGAGTGTCCATGAAGCTTCATACAACATGTCATATACTTGTTGCCATTTTTTGTTGAAGGTGACATGTGCCTTGCTCCGGATGGGGTTGGGAATGCGCAAGTAGATGCAGGTGAAGTAAATGCCTCGTGGTGCAATTATTTGACCTTCAGCAGGAAGCTTTCTTTTGTTGTGCTCCGCGACTGCCGCTAACCAAGGAAGCGCCAATTTGACGGCCTTTCAATCTCATGCCTTCATCGGTTCAGAGAGTGAATTGAAGTCCTTGGCCCTACAAGCCATGCAAAAATCCCTTCCGCTCATGAATGATCAACTGAATCGTACCCCGATCATTTTTTGTGGTGGTGGATCTTCATCCTGTGCCTTGGTGCCTTTCGCCCCCCCATCCCTCAGTGACCACCGTGCCCCCGAAGAAGACGAAACCGGGCTACGTGCAACTCGCTTGGTACTGCCAATGCGGAAGCTCCGACTTCTACCAATCTTGCGTCGGATTTCCATGCCCAGAAGCTGCCCTTGGGTCCCGATTTCAAGTCAGACAGCTTCGTCAGAAGGCTGGTGCCGTTGGCACCGCATGGGTTGGGCCCAGGAAAGCTCAGCAGCTGCCTAGTACTGATCCCGTGTCAACATCGGCCCGTGTGTGGGCCAGCATGTTTTCCAATCCGCGCTGCAGCTTCATTCCAGGGCAGAGCATGGCTTTTGCCAATGTTCCTGAGGAACAGTGCATGGCGAGTGATCAACCAGCACTAGCTCCAGCATTCAAGCTTCACAGTTACGAGCACGGCTGGCACTTGCCGCTAGTTTGCATGAATGGCAGCAGCATCCTCCAAGTCACTAACATGGAAATGGACAATGGCCTAATGGCCTTGGGAAGGCTTTTTGCAGTGCAATCGGGGGGCTTTCGTTGGAGGATGGGGGCCACATAATATGAAGCTTTAGAGTATATAGACAGGCAAAAGGTTGAATTTGGCTTACCAGGTAGGATGTATTCGGCCATTTGCAAGTGAACCTGCCAGTGAGGTACACTGGCTGCAATGCGGATGACTGCTCAAGCTGTGGGCTGACACGTTGGGTCCCTGTGAGAAGGTGTACTTGCCTGGAGCCCTTTGGAACTTGTATTGTCCTGGCCTCCTCCAGTGATGAGTGTGCTCCTCGCCTGCATGCAATCGTCGAAACACCCACTGTAGGTTGACAGGCTATACAGTGCTACCATGTGTTAATACCTACAGTAAGTGCGCGATCATTATATAATTAGTTCAACTGTCAATGGTGCTCATGGCTATCAATCGTGCAGCCTTTTTAGGTGGGTGGCTTGCAGAGCTATCCGGACGATGAGCCAATCTTGGCTGCCAACAACAGCCGGACCGGGGTCGGATCCGGGCGGGGAGTCAGGGCCAAACGATCAGCCCCACACGCTACAGAGATCCGCTGATCGACACCACACACTTCTTTTTGCCGGGCCCGGTGGGCTAATGAAGCACACATCACAAGACGTGAATTTGTATGGATTCACCGCCATTCCATGAGATATAAGCCCCCCCAGGATTATGTATTTGATAAAAATTTGGCCTTTCCTTTGCCCAAGCTGGTCAAGGTGCCTCCATGTGCAAACTACTGAATTTGTCCGATGGGGCTTTCAAAACGGTTACCTCACCACAGCTGCAGCTGCTGCGCAGGCGCAGCTCTTGTTATCCCATTGAACTTGTCCGATGGGCCTCAGGACGGCCTTCATGGATGCCATCAGGGTCCACGGTTGCAAGCCTTGTGGCGTGGAGGGGGACTTGAAGTGTGATGCTTCGTGGTCTGGTGAGGCGGAGTGAAGTTGAGTTTCTTGTGGACATAGGTAGCAGTGAGCATGTAGATGTAGAGCTTTTCTTTTTTTTTTGGCGGGGGTGGGCTGAACAGCAACACGGAATGAAGCTTCTGGGAGTGAAAACATGCATCACAGCATCACAACATTCTGAGTCACCACCATGTCAGGTGGCAAGGATTGGTCAGATTTGGAAGAATATGTAATATACTTCATCTTTCCAGCAGTTTCCTGCTAGCTGCTAGAGTCAGAGCCTGATTCTGCCTTTTCAGGAGCTGCGTGGGGATCTGTTCTGCGACAACTGTTCCACGGAGGTTTGTGCTTTGAAGAACATCTCCCTTGGGCAGCATCAAGTGCCACAAACACCGCTTGGCCAGCGGAGTGGATACAACGAAGTTGCATTGGCCACACCCAGAACACTGACGCTTCTGCGTGCCTGCGCGCAAGGGGCTGGTGGTGAGGATCGTTTGGACGATCTGAATGCCGGGCTGTTGGAGAATTTTCTCATCGCTCTAGCGTTGTTTGGGATCGCTCTTGTGATTTGTTGGAGCTGCGGCTTCTTGGAGAAGCACTGCTGGTGGCAGAGGTTCCCCAGACTTCGTTTGTGGGCACGTCTCTGCCACAGAGATCGGCTTGAGGAAGAGAAACACTTCCATTGGTGCCTTTGGATGGGGTGTGCCCTTCTTACCACCTGTGGGCTGGTTTGGATGCGCTTCAACCCCTTGGCAGGCCAGTTGGCCCAGATCGAGAACACTATGGACACCAGCAATTTTGACACTGCGGCGGCGATACGTATTGTAGAGACTGCCCGTGCTCGAGGGTTTTGGGTCTTCGTGATGTGTGCTGCAGTGCTCTTCGCAGTCTCATTGCTGCGGCTGTTGCAGCACGTGCGGCTTCGAGTAGGTCTGCGCCCACCCAAGATCGATGAGGAGAGTCCATGTTCTTCCGCTTGGAGGTTCATGGTGGTCTTCCTTTTGACTGAGGCTGGTGCAGCTGCGTCCTTCTTGGCCTTCGTTTTCTGGCAGGGGGAATTCTCGACATCCTTTGAGAGGCAGAAACAGCATGCAAGCGATCTGGGTTTTCTGTCAGGTGTCGTAGCTTCTTCCACCTCAGCAGTCTTCTGCATGAGAGTTATCTTGAGCTGGATTGGCCCCATGACGATTACCCTGAGCCTTTCAACGAGTTCCATCCTGTTTTCGGCATCGCTGTGCAAGGTCAAAGGACGCGCAAATCGAAGTCTCAACTCGGTGGTTTTGGGCATCGTCCTGACACAAGAGGTGACGGCATTGATCTTAGCGATCGCGTACTTCCATTCAGGCTATGCTTCAACCATATTGCTATGGCTGCTCTTCTGCACTACTGCCTTCAGGATGTTACTCATGTTGCTCCCCTTTTTACAAAATAATTCTAAATAGGTCTAAACAATATATATAAATGTTTGAATTCCATTCCATTTCTTATCAGGCAGTTTGCCACGTTGAAAACCAAGCTAGGCTGATCATGTGCAGTGGGACTCTCAGCGGTGTATGGTTTTACTTGCTCTCCTCCGACAGCATCTTCGTGCAAACGTGGCTGCAGCTTCTGCTGGGCTGCCTGGTCACCTCCCACATCATCCTTAAATGCCTGGTGGGATGGCTTCTGACTGATGCTGGGCTGAGGTTCCCTATACCTTTCTATATGGGGACCCAAGCTTCCCACATCTCAGCTGACCCTCACTGATGTGAGAGTATAGATAGGGACCAGCTATATTGGAGTCAGGTGGTAGTTAGTTGGCGAGTGCTGCATGGTCACTTGTCAAGGTTCTCTTGTTGGCCACAGTGCACACAAAACTGAGACGCTGGCCTTAGACTTGCTGAACACCTGAAGTGAGGGTCTCACTATATTGCTCATTTTGATGTCCAAAGGCTAACCAAGAATGCTGGCCATTGTTCGTGCATCCTGAGCTCCCGAGGACTCCGCTTTGCTTCCGTTCTTGCTATGTTCTTCCTGCACAACCGTGGGTCTTTCCTCCATGGCAGTGATTCTCTTGGGACGTTTGGGGGGCTGCGTCTCCAGCAACAACGCCGCGGTCAGAAACATCGTCGACCACATCATCCACCGATGCTTGTAAAGCAATCGGAGCAAAGTAAGAGCCACAAACCAAATCCAGAAAGATGGGCCCATGTTCTGTTCATTTTTCGTCCATGTGTTTGCGCCATGGTGAGCTGGTGTCCGTTGGACGTTTTCCGTCATTATTTTTGATTTTCTTGTCACACGGTACAAAGAAGCCTGCTTAGGGGAGTCTCACTGTGGTGTGTTCTAGTGCCTTAGAGCATCCGCGCCCTTTAAACTGTTCAAGGACCATCGGGGACACATGATCCGAGCCGACTGCGTCTCCGTGTTGATGCTCAGCAGCCGTTTCTTGTTGGAAAAGGAGGAGGCCAAGACCCCGGGCTTTGGGGCCCGAATCAAATGGAGGAGGCTGTGTGCTTTGCTGGGCTGTTTGGGTTTGCTGGTGGGCCTGCAGCGAAGCTTGTGGCACAATTTCACCCACTCGGCTTGGGATGACTTGAACGCCTTGATTGTTTCTTATTCTTGGTCGATGACTTTTTTGTTTTCTATTGTTTTCAGGTTTTTCTTTGGTTAGGGTGTCGGGAGGGGTGCGCTCGGCAGAGGCATCATACTCTTTAACTTAGGCTTCTTGGATAGGCTCCGATGCATTGATCGACCACGACTCCGGCTCGGTTCTTGCACCCTGCGTTCAACAGTACGACTCCGCCCGGACGGCGCGGGCAGCTTGCAGCGTGGCTGGGGCCGTGTTCTTCACGCTGGCGGTGCTCTCGGATGTGGTAGGCTCAAGCGTGGCGATGCGGTGGCCACAGCATTCGGCCGTCAGGTTTTTGAAATGCTCTAGGATGTTAGGCTTTCTGGGAAACTTGGATTCAAGCGAGTGTGCGGAGCTGGAGCCTCCTACATGTCCCATATTCCCTAGACCTAATCCATTCCCACGGCACAAATTCAGTATCAGCTTGCTTCACCAACTGAAAGGTTGTCATAAGTCAAGTCCAAGGAAGTATTTGCTATGCGTGTGGTATGCTGGTGCTGAATCTTCCGGACTACGTGGGCTTGCTTGATTTTGGAGTGCTGGAGCATTGTGGGAGCGGCTTTTGCAAGGCAGTGACAGATTCTATGAAGTCGGCGGTGGGTTCTGGACTGTTGGCAAAGGCAGGCATGGAGTTTTTGCCTCTATTGGTTCCTTGATGGCAGGAATTCAGTCCTATTCTGCCTGGATTTTTTTTCTTGTTTGACCAACATGAGCACACCTGAGCCAGGAAGACTCAGACAGTTGCTTTTTTTTCAACTTTTGTGTTTAAAGGGCTGCAGCCCAGCAAAGGTATGTTTGGCTTGGACCTTCTTCCGGATTGGTTTCTTCTTGGCTTCAGACCCCCAGAACATGGAGGCAGTGAATGCACTGATGTGGGTGACTCTGAGTTGCATGCTGCGGCTATCCCCCTTAGCAGGGACTGCTGCCTTTGTCGCTTCGCCCAGTGCAGAGGTGATTGGCTGGTTCATTGCCTTCTTGCTCCTGCCTACTCTGCTCCTAGGGGTCATCGTGAAGATGAAGTTCACCTCTTTAGCTTGGTACTTCCTGTGGGGTTGGGTCCTTTACCTCATGCCTTTGCTGGTGATGGCTTCCTATGCCCTGGGAGTCGACTTCGGGACCTTGCTCAGGAGGCTTTTCGAGTACTTGAAGCAGGATTGGCCGAGCTTCCTGGCAGAGTTCACGCTCTCCGATGTGCTGATCTCTGATCTCTTCTTCACCATGGTGTTCGTTGAGAAAGCCTAGGCCCTAGGCCTTCAGGCCCAGCATTGCCAGCATTCCATTGCGGGCTCGTGTGCCTTCATGGCATCGTCTCATATGCGGTGGCGCCCAGTGCTTAAGAAGGATTAGCCCCATGATACATTGTCAAACCAGACTACCATGAGCGACAGGTGGAAAGAACATCCAAGACCCGAGGGTACAGCAGATTCATCAATGTTCCATTATACAAAATAGTTGTGTGCAAATTTGAATATGATTTTGTTGCTGGGGGCCACCCTGCTTATGGCATTAGTAATGCCCGCACTCTCTGCCTTTGGGCCCTGAATGTCTTGAAACAACAAGCGAAGTGACATGATGTTTTTTTAACCGCTCAAGCATGCTGCAACAAGCCTTTGTGGTGGTAGCGCACGAGTTTTTAGCAAGCCAACAGAACGGGCAGACTGGCAGTGTTGAGTGACATGACATCAGTCAACAGTACTGATGATAGATGCATGATGCACGTGGCAAAGTTGTTCGTTCAACAGTGTGCCGGACGCGCAGCCTTCTTTAGCCACTTGCCAGCGATTTTGATCAAAGATAGATGGATTTTCATTCATCAAATTGATCATGCATGTCCCAGACAGTTCCTGCCATGGCCAGTTGCAATCTGAGTGACTCTGAGCTTCGCTACAGGATTGTGCTTGGTAGTGCACTGCTGACACCAAGTGCTGCCCTTAGAGCAGCTCACAACACCCACCACGAAACACACTCTGAAAGCAAGGGTGCTGGAGAAAAGCCGCAGAATTGCACGGAAGGCCAAGAAATGCCAAGAAGAGAAAACCCGGTCATACTGAGCCCTCAAAGAATGAGCTTGCAGGAGTTATGCAAGATGCAAACCAGGGGCGCGCTCACATGTGCAGCTCTGCTGCGTTCTGGTCCGGCAGCTGGACCTGCGGTGCTAGCTAAGATTTGAGCGTTCCACCCACGTCTCTACAACTTTCTTCCCAGGTCATGACGCAATCCATGTAGCAAGCTTCAGCATTCTGATGGCTGAGGCTGGAAGTTCTTGCTGAATGCCAGCTGAATGCAAGGCCGGCTGGCTGAAACCAAGGCTCCTCGAAAGTTTTGATGGCATTGCCCTGGTAGGATTGTGTCCCAACTCTTGGTGCAAATAACCGTCATATAATGACTATGTAATGTAATGTTTCTTTCTCGCGCTAATGGCGCCAAGCTTGCTGATGAACATCTCAAGCAAGAATGATGCACTCCCAAAATAGTGTTCTGGCCCTAGAAGAGTGCCATTTCCCCCGTTCGGTGTGAAGACACTCCCACTCTTCACATGGCAAAGGGACTTGCGACCTTGGTCGCTATGTGCATTGGCGCTTGGATACTATCTTCAAAGAGCTTGGCTTTTGCCGCAAGGCCAGCTTCAGGCATTCGCGCGGCCGCAGTTCCCTCACGCCCTGCTTCAGCAGGGCAGGTTCCTGTTGGACACTCCCTTCCTGGGCAAGGCTGGGGTGGAGTTTTCTCTGGGCAAACGTTGCGTGTTGCAACAGCAATAGGTGTCGGTGTCGTGCTGCACAAGGGCAAGAACAAGACGACTGAACATTGCAGTGCCATGAAATGTGGTGGCGGCATTGTCGCATTGGCAGCAAGCATGGGGACTATGTTGGCAGCAGACTATGCTGCCAAGTATTTGCTTGGAAAGTCGGCACAGCATCTTGCTGGAAAGATGGGCCAGCACGCTGCGACTGCAAGCATAGCGCAGGTGGCAGCTGCTGCCAAGAAAGGCACGAAGTGGGCGCAAACGGCATCCAAAATCATGACCCAATCGCGGTTTATGCGGGACGGATGGACTGTTAGCAAGATTCTTGGAGGGGTGGCTTGCTTTGCACCTAGCTGCAACGTCACACGTTTGGTTGATGGGAGCAGTTCCGTGTGCACGGTCGAAGAGCTACAAGTTGGAGACTCCATCCTGACTTTGGACGAGAGCTTGAAACCTGTGATGACAGAGGTGCATGCGGTTGAGGCGCATTTGCATCCTGGTCATGTCATGGTTAGCTGTACAGTGCATGGGCCCGATTCCGTCATGAAGCGACTCTCAGCGACTCCAAACCACGAGGTAGTGAAGCGAAGTGATGGTAAGATGGTGCCTGTTTGCCTAGGAGATCTTGAATGTGGAGAAGAGCTTGTAGGAAAGATGGGGGAACCCTTGAAAGTGATGAGCATTTTCACATTCTCCAGTGGCTGTGTTTATGAAGTGGAGACCGGCACAGGGACAATCTTGGTGAATGACATTTTGGCTCGGGCCACATCGGCTGATTACATTGTGGGTGAGCCTCTTTCTCAAGAACTGATGCTTGATGGAGTGAATTCGGGATGCGTTGCAACCTGCTGCTCCCAAAAGCAGGTCCTGGCAGATCTTTAGCTAGTTTGTAATTTTTTTAAGCTTGGCCCAAACTTCCCCATGCCATTGCTGGAGCAGCCCTGAAGGGTGGCAATTGCCCATGACTTTGGGCACTAATGGCCTTTGGGAGGCTCCAGCAATGCATGGCTGCGCCGGTAGTACCGGATCTTTTAGTTTGCAACGCCATTGGAGCGAGACCTGGATGGAGGCTATTAGGACTCTTGTCCCGGATGGATTATATAACTATATATATATAATATATAACTTTTGAAACAATTATTTGAGCACGGCCCCGCAGAATATTGCAGATAAGGGTGTGGTTTTGAGTCTTAGAGCATCTTTATGGGTGCGGTAGATTGGTTGGAGGGACGGGATTCAGATACTACAGAAGTGTTTTGGAACGCTTGTCTTTCCACCAGTCCTACGACCAAGAAAAGCGTGCTGGGAGCGCTTTGAATGAAGACTTTGTTGCGATTTCGTCCGTTGACCTTCTTACAAGCACCAGCGTGTGGTGTCTATTTGGAACATGAGCTTGAATAGGTGGCTGCGTGGTCGACAAACATGACGGAGCATCCTTGAGAAGCAGCAGGGTTCCCTGGAATGTCGGGCGCCGGAGGGGGAACTGGACCTAAAGATCAATTTTTAACACCATGGTGTCGCGCAGGTTTCTGCCGGAGCAGCACGGTTGTGAAACTTTTATTGTGCACGGCACACCCAGGGCGTTGCTGTGGGATGCGGGGCCGGCGATGGATGCTGTTGAAACAAACAAATCCACGCGAGGTTGCGCAGGGTGCGGGTGGATGCTGCGCAGTTGGCGGGAGGAAGATTCTGGGAAGCTTCTGATATCGCATATCGCATTTTGGAGGGCGTGCCTGTGATGGAGGTTGGTTCGAGTGTGGGAAGAGTTTTCCAGAAGATCCCATACACGACCCGGACGCTTATACTAATCCTGTCATCCGTGGACACCGTATGAGTCCGCAGGGGGTTGGATCTGAACGGATGGAGGGCTATCACGTCTGAGACGTTGATATCCAACCCATTGAGTTGCAATGATTCGTTCTGAATAGAGCTTCGCACCATCATGTGCTGCACACCATGTGGCAAAAAGAGACACCGAGACACCTAGCGTGACACTCTCAGTGGGGGGGTCCTAGTCTCCAGCCTGCCAAGGCCATGACCACCGCCGAAGCCCTGCCCAGCCTGCTGGCACAGTCGACGGCGTCACCTTGGTCGAGCAGGAACGGCAATGCGTTTGATATGCATATGATATTATACGATCCTCAAGTACTGCTTTCTTAATCCAAATCCCGAACATGGCCTATAATATTGCCCAGCATGGGAAAAATGAGAAGCTGGGTGCTTCGCTTGCCATGAAAGTGACAGCCTGGCAAAGCCAGGTCCCCCCCCGAAGCGTTGCCATTTGAGTGCTTTGTTGCTTTCATCAGCACCTGCAGGACTGCTTCATGTTGGCTCTCCTTGAAGATCTTGAAACAAGTCTTTGTGACAAAGCATTGCAACTGCAAGGTGCCTTTTCGTTCCCTTCCAATTGCGGAACCCTTTTTGGGTTAGATTTTGGATGGAGTTGGCATTCCATTCATCCACTTGTGCTCGGTTTCAATATGTTTCAATTTCAATCTATTCATTGAGGTTGGTGGCGTTTAGCTCCCGATCCACTCCATGTAGCTTGGAAATCTGCGGGATTCATTCACCTGTCTCCAGGATCCTGCAGTATGCCACATGCTGCAGAAAGAGGCGAGGGAGGAAGAATCTGAAGAAACCAGTCGGTTCTGTGCGAAGCTGCCTGCTTGAAAAAGGCCTGCCCAGTGTGTGGCTTTTGCAGGGCAGGCTTAGAGGTTTCTGTGAGGACCTTGCTCCTATCATGCACCTCACGTCTCGTCTTCATGCCTTTGCAACTGTCGGCCCCATTCGGCTCCCAGCTTTATATCCCGCGCTGTCGTTCTTGCAGGAGGGGCTTGTTTAAATTGTTTCTGCGCATGCGCTCCTACATTCCCTTTGGCTATAGCACCACACTTTCCTTTTGCCTTCTGGGACAGTTGATATATACAGCAGATCCTGCCCGAACCCTGCAGAAGCTGCATTACCCTGTAGGAACCCCAAGGGCCCACTCGTTTCACATATTGGTGCCTGGTTGCATCATGTTCCGTATTTGGGCTCTAAAGTTATTAGCTGACGCTTATTATTGTTTATATATATATATATATATATGGATTCTTGAAGCTCTTGACCGAGAGATAGCTGAAACGCATGTGTCCAGAGGAGATCATGGCCAAAGGGTCCCCGAAGTGGTTTGAGGAGGCGCTGAAATCCACTGAGGTGCTATGTCCCTGGGATTTTCTTCAAGATATTTCCAGTACAATTCCTTGTTCCCTCCACCAAGACTGATTAGATTTCCCCCCTCAAAGCCGAGTTTCTTTGTATCAAGGTCATTTAGCAAGTATATATGTATACCGTACAATTCCTTTACGTCATGGTTGGGGTGTGTTGGCCCATGTTGGGACAAAAAAAGGACATCAGTTCTTGTGGATTGGATTCCCACCATCTCACCAGAGAAACACACATTTCGATACATTTCGATGTTCACTTGAAGTCAACATTTTGGTGAAGTTCTGATTGAGCT